TCTGGTGGGCAGGCGATGGTAGGAGGTTGTAGAGGGAGGTGAGGGGTGCTAGTGGTGTGTGGGTCCGACGGATTGGGTGGCGGGTGGTGGTTGTTACTGATGGAAGGAGGCGGCAGATTGGTAGCTCAAGAAAGGGAAGAAGAAAGTGGAAAAATGGACCGTTTTCCGTGTTTTCATTTCTTTGCGTGTTTTGTCTCAAAACGCCCAAAACGTGATTTTTCACGTTTTCAGTTTTTTTAACAAATTTTTTTTCGTTTTTGAAAATACGTTTTCGAAAATAGGAAAGAGAACGCGTTTTCACTGTTTTGAAAAATTCAAAACAGAAAATGACCTGAAAACAGCAAAGAGAACAGGGCCTCAGGTTTTGTACACTGGATGGTTAGAACCCCCTTGATACTGTTGGTGATTAGGATGGAGCCAGTGGTGGCAGAGACGGAGACGAAGGTAGTAACGAAGGCGTAGGGCTTGCCCCGAGAATTTAGAGGCTTTAGGCGACTAATTACTAAAAAGCCTCAAGCATAATTTTTTTTTTCAATTCAAAATATAGATTTTTTGTCCTATGAACATTATCTCCTTTTCCTTAAAAATTTAAAAAAATTTTGCACCAGTTAACCCTGTTTCTTTATACTTCTACTATGCCTCCATCTAATAAATGTTCTACACACTTGAATTTGAATTCTTGGACTCTCAACTGATTGCACAAGGAAGAAAGCATACACTTCTACACGTTTCCTCTCTTTATGGCTCTTTCTTGACATCTTTAATGTCATGATTTCAAAACTATGTCCTAGTTAGAATAGTAATAATTAGGAGCAAAGTATCTCATCTTTTAGTTTATGAGTACGTATATTTTTCTTGGTATTGAAAGTGCTTTAGGGACTTTCTAGATCTTCATAATATGATTTTCTTTTTAGTCTTTTAGAGTTGAATATGATGAATACTGAGAATTTGTTCCTTGACTCAAACAAGTTCTCTCGCGAAATCCTGATAGAAATTTTCAGTCTTAAAAAACTTTCAATGTTGAATTTCAATGGTAATAGCTTGACAGGCTTCCATTGCTCATTGTTCCCACTTGAACACAAGCCCCTAATTCACAAAAAACAACAAACTCTTAATTCACAAAAGCAAAGAACAAACCCTTAATTCACAGAAACAAGAAGCAAAGAACAAAAACAAGACATGCATCAAATTGAAATTCATAATAAAAAAAAGGGTAATGAAAAAAAAAAAAATCCGTAACCTAATATAGAAAGAAACCTGAAAAATAACTCTAGTCAATGTCGGATTCTGAACGAGATTTTGCCTCACCTATTGTTGGATCTGTTTTTATCAATGCCAAGTTCCCTTTCACAGTGATTGAATGTGTTTCGAACTAGGCAGGATTTGGGCCTATTTATTTTTTATGTGGCCCCCCGATTTTTGAAGCCCAAGGCAATGGCCTTGTTTGCCTTGGCCAGTGCCAGCAGCGAAGGCGGTGCTAAAGTTGGTTGAGCCATGTTTGTGATGATGGGAGGATTTATCAAGTTTAGTTGATATCTACGTATGCATGGACACATTTTACATGTGAATTGTGATGTGCTACAAATAAGAGAGCATTAAGTTGGGGATTTTTGCAACTGCCTAAGTTGTATACTAAGGAAAGCATAACATTTGGTTTTTGTGCTAACTAACATAACTTAGGTATATGGAAAAATTCATTATTTAGGATTTCACGTATTGACGTTTCTCCTTTGCATTTAGTGAGTCCTCCCCAACACCCATTTTACTATTATAATGTGTATGCGTCTAGTTGATGTCTTTGTTTCGAAGAGCACGACATGTACACAATTTTTATACATAATTGACTATGTGAATCATTCATGAAACAATCATCTACTCTGATACCATGTTGAATTATGTAATGACCTTAATTCATCCCACATTGTTATGGTAAGACCACGTGCATACCATCGGCAATAGCCAAGCCTTAGAATGTTATTACTACTCACCCAACTTTTCAAATCCGACATCTACAATAACCTATAATTTTGACAGAGTAATTGGCGCAAAACGTCCATACTTTTCATTTTTTGGGGTTGAACCTTTCACATTCTTTGCACTGAACGTCTTTTTTACCAATTTTAACACAAAATGACCATTATACTCTCCTATATAAATAAAACAAAAAAGAAAAGAAAAATAATGAATAAATTGCAATCTGCTCCTAAACTTTTTTTAAAATGCAAATCAATCCAAAAAAGTGGCGATTTTTTGCCTTTTTTAGCCCAAATGCTCCAAATTCCGGCAGCCTCCGGCCACCTAAGCCGCCGGACGTTGACACCGGTCAACAGCCCTCCAATTCCCCATTCAATTACCACCCAACCACTCCCAACTTCATCAATTGTAGTGGTCGGAATTAATGCTGAAGGTTCACTGTCCTCAAATCTAAAAATCGTCGGAAATTATATTCAGGCCCCCCCTTATGATCGGAACTCACCTCCTATCAATTGCCTATCACCAGACGACCACACTCATGCCAACAATTTACAACAAACATCAACAAAAAAAATTTAATTTCATGCTAGATTCTTTGCCAGTCGCGACATCGCGACACAGCCTGCGAACTTCTCAAATTCCGGCGCAGTCCGGAACACCCATGGTCGCGGACCACCTGGGCTAAGTCCATCTTCACTAGGCGCACCTAGCCCAACCATGGGTCTAGGTCAATTTTGACCTGAAGCCATTCAATTTGTAGGATAAATACTATGTTCAAAAATTGTAATTGGATTTTGACCTGAAGTTCTAACGAATCCAGGCAAAATTGTGGAAGACCCATGGGTGGAATAATTTCGCCATGATGAGAAGGTGCTGAATAGAGTGGTCCGCGACCATGGGTCAAAGGACGACATCCGAATCAGCCAAGTTCAGTGCACGGCGCGATAGTCGCAACTGCGTTATTTTCAGTTTCAAATTGAACCTATTGGATAAGTGTTTTGGATGAATTTCCCACATGGTT